CCAAGGTGATTTCGCCTCTCTCAACGAGGTCTTAACCCACTAATCAAACTTGATTACACACATACAATGACAATCGTCAAAGTCTTATTGAGTTTAAACCACAACCCAGTTTTCTCAAGGAATTACATAATACAATTTTTGAAAGCATGTACAAGATGTGTTTTCTAATAAAACAGTATCACACAAGTGATGTATTACACAAATGAAACTCAATAAGTTAAAGGTGATGAAAATATCTCGTTTGTTGTGCACATTAAAATCGTAAATGATTTCTCCTTCAAGTCTTATTTATATAGGCAACGCATGTGGGAGATTTTGGAATGTTGATAAATAGTAATTAAAGAGCTTTCCAAATATAGAGATTCTTGTCCCCTTTCAGCCGTTACTTTTGAATAGCCATAAGTGAAATGTAACGCTTCAGAACGTGCTTGCTTCAGAAGATGAATGTTACCGTTGGGACTCCTTTACTTCTTTCTAGAACTGTATGAATCAGAATAACAGAGTTCCTGTTCGCAGCGTTTAGGCACTCAGAAGTTGCAACTTTAGAACTTCTTTATAAAAGATGTATTGAATTAGAGTTTGAAAAATTATTTAACTCATCTTTTGTGCTTCTTCCATCAGAACTTCTCTGCAAAATAAAATACTTATTCAGGGAGCATAATTGTTCTTTGAGTGTTTGTTATCATCAAAACTCTTACAAGGGTTTTAGAATAAAACTATGTTCTAACAAGAGGTTACTTAACACGATTTTGCCACGAGAGTGGGAAATCAACTAAGGTTCGAGCTGGCACAGCGTGTGCATTGGGGTCGATCTGGATAGTAGAAACTTGGCATTAATTCTAAATACAGCGAGAGCACTTTAAGATTAATTAGAACTTGTTCAGTTTTCAAAACACATTCCTTAATTAAAATGGGCGAGCGAGACCAAAGTCTCATGGTTAAGGAATGTGGCTTTATTTAAGACCACGAGAGTGTGAGGTTCAATCTTTAAATTGATATTTTCTACTAAACACATTTTTAACATCAATATAAGCTAATGAGTTACAGAGTCCCAGAGGTACTCGAAATACACATTCTGGTCTCTCTTTTATTATATATTTCTTCAATATTATTTTAGTCTTTTTTTTAGTCTTAGTTTCCCCTAAATAAATTATTCATTAGCCTTAGCTTTACAAAGCGACAATAGATTATAGTAGTTTGAAATTGGTCTATGTAGGTTCGACAATCTTTTATATTACTTTGATATTTCTGTGCACTTATGGACGCATCAACGAGATGCTTTTCAATTGATGAAAAATATATGACAATGAAAATAGAACAAACAAATAAGTTGTTTAAATAATTTCAAGTTTTCCTAATTTCCAAGTGAGGTAAAAAAATGAATGAGGGATGTGAATGAGTATACTAGAGAAAATGTGACTGTAAAAAGAAATAAAGGAATTAGCTAGAAAAGGAAAGAGATGGAGATAACTGTCATTCAAAACAAATTGAAACAAGATACAAATTAAGACACGAGGATGTGTATGGTGTGCTTAATAAAAAATAGGTTTTAACATATTCAAAAATAGGTGTGAAACGTGAAGAATTTTAACCTATTCCCAAGAAATCTTTTGTTGCTCAAAGTATTTCCAACAATTTTAGTTAAGACTTGAATTGACAAGTGTCTTTTCAAACTTTAACTGGTTGTTGAAAACCAATCTTAACGATCTCAAAAATATTTTGCTAATTTTGAGATATTTCTTACACAGACATCTTCTAACTTGTAGAAGTATTAATAAAAGAAATTTATTAATAAAGTTAAACAATAGAAATACTAAGTTTAAGTTCTTCAGAATGAATAGATATCTATCTTCAGCTAAGAGTTTTGTAAAGATATCAGCCCGTTGATGGTATGTATCTATGAATTTCAAAACGAGGGCCCCTTTCTAAACATAGTCTCTAATAAAATGATGTTTAATTTCTATGTTTTTAGCTCTGGAGTGTTGGATAGGATTCTTAATGAGACAAATAGCAGCAATGTTATCACAATAGATGGGAATGCCATTCTCATAGATCTGAAAATCCTCCAGTTGATTCTTCATCCAGGGCATCTGAGTGCTGCAAAGTGATGCTGAAGTATATTATGCTTCTGTTGTGGATAGAGCGATCATTGACTGCCTTTTGCTAGACTAGTAGATGAGGTTATTACCCAGAAATTGATAGTTTCCAGAAGTGCATTTACGTTCTATCCTGTCACCAGCATAATCTGCATCATAGAACCTTTATAGCTTATATTCTAATGTTTTCTTATACATCAATCCAAGGTTAGGAGTTCCATTCAGATATTTTAGGATTCTCTTAACAGCAGTTAAATGGCTTTCCCTTGGATCTGATTGAAAACGAGCATAGAGACACATGCTGAATAGAATAGCTGGATGAGAAGCAATGAGATAGATAAGAGAGCCTATCATACCACGATAGAGCTTCTGACAAACCTTTTTACTTACATCTTCTTTCTATAGAATACATGTGGGATGCATAAGAGTCTTAACTGGTTTACATTCCGACAGGTTAAATTTCTTCAGAAGTTATTTTATATATTTGTTCTGATAAATGTAGGTGAAACAATCGGCTGAAAATCATCAAAAAATGAAGTCGCCATCAAACGTCTTTTATCCCACATGAATGGAAAGGAGAACATCGATAAAACCCGAGGGAGAAGTCACGGTCTTGCAACTGAGAGATCGGGTAAGGGAGTCTGTTACACGAGGGTAAGGTATTAGCATCCCACACGCCCTTAGTACTCTATGGTATCCACTCTTGCTATTTATCTTATGGGTGTGTCTAATCTATGTCTACTGCTTATTACTGAGGAAAAATGCATGCAAAAGAAATGAGGGGAAAAAAGGAAGTATTTACGAATTTTGCTCGGTTAGGCCCCGCGACCTGTCGCCTACATATCCCTTTCGAGGAATCCGAGCGTCGTAGTTCGGCTCACATGTTTTTGTTTTTTTTATATTTTTTATGAACAATATTAATTCCGCCTTCTTCTGCAGCTCGACCTTTGGAGACTCACGCGTTGGCACAGAAGTAAATTAACACGTCCTTACTTGAAAATGGTTTTAGAGAGAAAAGGTGCTCGGGCGCAAAAAAGGTTTGAGATGGTTTGTATTTTTTACCTTGAAAAAGGGTTTTTGTTGTTAGAGAGTGTTATTATTAGTATGAAGGAAAAAGGAGGTTTTAGTTTTAAATGCAAATGCAAAAGGGGGAAGAAAAGAGTCTACCGGAGACTGGCCTATTTCTAATCCTAATGTTATCATACAATGGTGGTCCTAAGGTTTGGATTTTTGAAGGGAAATCTCTACCCAATGTTAGCATGCATGGATACCTATCCTAATGTATAGTTCAAGGACTAACCTACACGATTAATCCTAAGGGAGCATGGTATAGAGAACAAATAAGCAAACAAGTGCTTTGAAAAAGCACACAAACATGAGTAGCACATACTGGCTCAAAGGGATGGGGGAAACAAGAGAAATGATTTAGCTAAGGGAAGCGGATCACCTGAAGCAAACAAGCAGGAGACAGATAAAATAAAAAAGAAAATAAATGTTTTAGCTAAGGGGAGTGGATCACCCGAAGCAAACAAATGGGTAGAAAAGTATCAGCAGTGGCCATTGTGAACTCGTAACAAAGTGTGGGGGGTTGAGAACAAACACTTTTCCACAAGACCGACTCGATACACAAGATTTACACAAATCCAAAGTGTCAACGTACAACATGAGCTAAGGATGAGACAAACTAGAATGTGTGGGGTTTTATTGCTAACCCTTTCTGCTCGCCTCCTTTTGAGGACTTCCATGGGTGTGAGGGAATAATACATGCACATATGTAAACACACATGCGAAATACCTATTTCAAAGATATGGTTTCAAACAAACACAAATAACATACAAAAAGTGGTGTCTGCTACAGGACTTTAAAAAGCGACTTCGAGCGCACACTCTTTAATTCCTACTTATGATATCTAGAAAGTAGTAAAGAAATGCGATAAAGTGCGGAAAAATATAAAAGCAGTAGCGCTGACTACCAAAAGCAATAAGATCGTAGAAAGCGGACGAAAGAAATGGAGAAGCAATGAGTATGCGTCGAGCAAGCTTCAACAAGTAATAAACAAAGTCAGAAACGATATAAAACTAAGATAAAAGCAAATGTGTGTTGCGAATGCAACACATAATCATAATTTCTTGCACAAAGTATCATAACATATCACATGCATTCGGACAACATATTACATGATATGAATTTCTCAGGACGATGAGAAATAAGGCGTGTTGCATCAGAAGCGAGCATAAGCCATATGCTTCGATCACATAACAACCTGTTATGTTACATGATCAAAAGAACCAAAATGTACCTTGCACAATGAACAACGTGTCAAAAATAACGAGGCAAAAAGGTGTAAAAGTATGAATAAAAAACCTAAAAGAAAAAGTACTTTTTATTAGTTTATGAGGTGAGGAAAATTCTATCAAAACCTAAAGAATTAATTCCTAAAATCAACTAAGAAGATCTAACAAGTTTTTATTGATTTTTTTACAATTTTTATCATCAGTTTTTACTCCTAATATCATTATCTAGAAATTAAGAAAAGAAGAGTAGAGAAAAATTTAAACAAACTCGAAAGAGAGGGGTATATAGATTGGCAACAGGTGTATGGAGCAGGGCGCTAGGCCCATATAGTTAGAGCCAATGAAGGATATTTTTGCTTGGATCAATAGAGCCTGAAAAAAAACACTTCAGGCTTGAAGAGTGGTCCGGTTTGGCCCAATAGACCATGCCTTGGTCCGATCCAAAGAGCTTTATCCATACGAAATGTTGTAGTATTGAGAGGGAATAATGTTACAAAGAAAGTGGCTTTTGAGCTTCTTCTAACGAGATCTTCTTCTAATCTCTCTCCTTCACAAACGGCGTTGCGGTGACCTCACCGCCCTCTATGATTCAAGCCTAGCGCCGCTGTAATGACAAATTTGGCCATCACACAATGTCGCCTCAACTTCATCCTTCAAAACTTTGGATTCATCTCACCTAGCATCATCCCCGTCTTGAATTCTCCTTCGCTTCTCACCTTCCGTTCAAGAATTCTAGTTCAACTCAACCTTTGCACTCATAACACAAAACATAAACGTAACAAGAAGGATGGGGAAGGCTTACCGGCTGGAGAAAGCGTCTGGTGCCTCTTCAACCCTAGCGAAGATGAGAAAAAAAGAGAATGTGACTTCAATAGCTCAGGTACACATCAATACTTGATTCTCGTTTCTGGTTATTCTCTTCTTCTTCTAATTCTTTCTGTTTCTTCTATTCTTGAATTTTTGTTGTTCTTATTAGAGCACTGTGATGGCGTTGCAGAATCGAAATGGATGCGTAATTGCTAAAATTGTTATGATGTTGATTTAAAAGAAGAAAAAGGTGGTCGTTGCAATGATGCTGAGAGTTTCGAGTTGAACTGGAAGATTCGAGAAGATGAAGATTGAAGTAAGTCGATGTGGTAACTATTATACAAATTGATGAGTGAAGATGGAGTTCAGAGAATTTACAGCGAGATAGAGTGTTTGAAGGTGAAGAATGGTTCAGAGAGAATAAGAGAGAAGATTGAGATGGAGGCTGATTGTGAAGAAAGAAAACTAAGAAGAATCAATCGTGTTGAGAAGTGAAGAGTGAAGATGGAGTGTTGTTATGGTGATCAAGATTGAAGATGAAGCAAAGAAAGCTGAGAGATCATCTTCAGAGAGAGTGAAGAATCCAACAATTGCAAGGTAATTTCCTGTTATGTAGTTGTGATAGTTTGTTAGGATTAGATCCAATATGAGTTGTTGGACTAGGAGAGAGTTAGTTAGAAGCTGTTTAGATGATAGTTATGATGAGTTAGTGAATTAGATACTGAGTTAGTTTTGAGAAGGTTAGGAGGTTGTTTAAACTCTGTTAGAAACTGTTATGAGGTTAGAGGAAGTCAGGATCTCAGAAATTTTGTTCCAAGTTAGTTAGCTGTTAGTTTGAATTCTGTTAGAAGTCAGTTTTATGAGGTGGCAGTTAAGAAACTCTATTATTGTTAAGGCATATTCTGATTTAAGGATTTTCTGGTTTAATACTTTCTCATGCTTTTCCTGTTTCTGGATATATTGAACTGAAGCAGGGCTATCGATATATTTTGGTGTTGGTTTTGTGGACATGGTTTAGGGTCGTAGGAATAATAGTCATATTGATGGAACACTAATGTTTAGAAGTTAATTTGAATTCGATTTAATCAGCTATTAGTTGAATGTTGGTTTGGCTGGATGGAATTTGTAGTTATAGGTGTGAAAAAGTTCTGTTAGTGAATGAGCTGGCCTTTGGTTTTGATTTTCTTATTTCTGGTTTTCTGTTTTTGGAATGGTATACAGGGCACAATTTCAGTCAGCTTTGACTTGTTTTGTTTTTATTTGATGAATTTATTGTATGCTGCAGGTGTGGCTCAGATAAGATGGTGTTTGGTTTATGGACTGGTAGCCTACTGAGATGTTTGATTATGGAGCTTAAAGCATGATGTGATTAAGCCCATAGTGCAATACAAAGGGAAATGAAGGTTTGGTGATTTGAAAAGAAATAAGTCTGGAGTCAATGTTTAGGATTAGGATCGAAATAATTTGTAATTTTCTTGATATGTGTATTGATTTGTAATATGATGAATGTGACTATTGTAATGAAATTTGGATATGAAATGTAGTGTCCTTTAACTTTCAAAAATAATGTTGCAATTTGTTTTACTTGAATGAAGAAGTATTTGGATCAATATGACTTGTTCATGGCATGAGAATGAATGGCAATTTGAATGGATATGTAGCCTTAGAAACTTTTGATTCCAATAACAAATCCCCAAGTGTTCAAAGCATTCTTTCTCTTTGATTTGTAGAACTTAAATTCTATTGAAAAATCAACTTTTGTGCCATGTTTTACCTTTACAGAGCCTTACTTTGACGATTGAACTCCCTGTTATCAATGCCTCACATCATAAGCCATGACTCATTGAAGAAACACCTTTGAACCATATAGAGATCTACTTGACCGAATGAACCCACATCCTCTCTATTGCTTTGCACCATTTAATAATATCTCAATGTATGTCTTGATCAATTCTTTGATTCTTAAGAAGGCCAAACACCAAATGAATTATCATGGTTTCAGATCTCCACGCACCCTAATTGATGGATATAGTTCAATTGAATATCTTCTTGCATGAGAACCATAACTAAGTGCCTTGAAGTTTAATTAATAATTGAACCTCCTTTGATAAAGGAAACTCAATTGAAAATACTAACTTGTGATGGATAAGTTCTTAGAAGATGACCTCTTTGCATAGCACAATGATATATAATTGAGTCAAAACCCTGGTTCAAAGCATTGATGAAACCTTAAGCACATACAAGTAATAATCCTTATGCACTTGACCCTGATGAAACTTGAGAGAGATAATAGTGTAGCTTGATGAAAAAGAAATCCATAATAACCATGAACGTAAAACTCTAGCTTCAAATTCTGATTGTTGAAGAAACCAATTTATTCAAGCTTGAATGAAGATGAGAGCCTAAAAGCACAAATAAACTCTAATTCCTCAATATCCTTGATCCCATGCCAAATTATTGATTAATTATGCATGATGTATTAGATGACCTAATGGAAGGTATGCAGATGAAATGAGAATTGAATAAGCCATATGTTTAGATGCAAGGGTATGACAAATTTAGGGTATGACAATAGGTAGCTTCTGAGGTTTGATGAATTTGAATTCCCAGAAAATACTTCAATTCTTGCATTAAGCTCATTTCGAATTCTGCCTGCATTAGCTCAAAAAATTCTTTGCAAATAGAGGAATTAGCATAACCAAAAATTATATCATCTACATAGATTTGAAATATCATAAGATCATTTCCAAATTTTTTACAAAAGAGAGTATTGTCCACTCGCCCTTTTAAGAAACCATCTTCCACTAGAAAAGAGATAAGTGTTTCATACAAAGCTCTAGGAGCTTTTTTAAGACCGTACAAGGATTTTTGAAGTTTAAAAACATGTTCTGGTAGCTCAGTGTTCTCAAAACCAGGAGGTTGGTGTACATACAAAAACACACTTTTGACATCCATTTGATATAGAATTATATTGTTATGAACAACAAAAATTATTAGAAGACGAATAGATTCTAACCTAGCAATTGGGGAAAAAGTTTTGTTATAGTCAATACCTTCTTGTTGACTGCAACCTTGTGCAACTAGTTGGGCCTTTTTATGACGACTTCACCTTTTTCATTGATCTTGTTTCCGAAAAGCCACTTGGTTCTAATCACATGAATTCCTTTGGGCTTTGGTACCAAGTCCCATACATCATTTTTGGAAAATTGATTCAATTCTTCTTGCATTTCCATAATCCATTCGTTTTCCTGAAGTTCTTCGTCACAGGATGTTGGTTCTACTAGAGGAACCAATGTTAGAATTGATTCCTCATCCTTCTTGCATGTAGATCTTCTTAAGGCAGGTTCAGACTTATCTCCCAGAATCAATTCTTCAGAAACTGTAAATCTCTTCTTTTGCATTTTCTATACAGGTGTTATTTTTGGTGCTTTTGTTTATGATATTTCACCATTTTGATTCTTTTTGCTTGTATTTTCATCTTCATAACTCTTTACATTTTCATCAGAACCTTCAAGGATTATTTCTAGATCTGCAAAACTTTCAAACAACTTTGACTTTTCTGAGTCAAGCTTATCATCAAACCTAACATGAATTGATTACTCCACAGTTTGAGTTTCTGTGTTATATACTCTATAGCCTTTTGAGCATTCTGAGTATTCCAACATAATACATTTTTGTGCTTTGGAAACAAACTTGTCCAGATTCTCTTTAGTGTTTAGAATAAAACAAGTGCACCAAAAAGGATGAAAGTAAGAGATATTTGATTTTCTTCCTTTACGTAACTCATACAATGTCTTCTCTAGAATAGGTCTAGTCGAGATTCTATTTTGAATATACATGATGTATTTATATCTTATACCTAGAAGTGCTTGGCAACATTTGTTTCATTGATCATGGTTCTAGCTATTTCTTGTAAAGTCCTATTCTTCCTTTCTACAACTTTGTTTTGTTGTGGAGTCCTAGGACAGGATAAATCATGGGATATGCCATTTGAATCAAATAATTCTTTAAAAATTTTGTTTTCAAATTATCCTCCATGATCACTTCTGACTTTAACAATTTTAGAATTAAATTCATTTTTCACTTGTGAACAAAAACTAGTGAACACAAAATGAGACTCATCTTTGTGCCTTAGAAATTTTACCCATGTCCAATGACTATAATCGTCTACGATGACAAGTCAAAACTTCTTACCATTAACTGATGTTGTCTTAACAATATCAAACAAGTCCATATGTAAAGCTCCAAAAGTTTGGAGGTAGAAACAACATTTTTAGTTTTTAAAGAAGTTTTAGAAAACTTTCCTTTTTGTTATGCTTCGCAAAGAGCATCTGAAGTAAACATCAACTTAGATAGGCCTCTGACTAACTCAAGTTTATTTAGCTGAGATATCCTTCTTAAGCTAATGTGACCCAAGCGTCTATGTCATACCCATTTCTCATTGTTAACTGACATTAAGCATTTCACATCTTGGTTTTTAAGATCAGATAGTTTTGTTTTGTAAATGTTGTTTTTCCTCTTTCTAGTGAAAAGAATAGCACCATCTTTCTGATTGATGGCTTTACAAAACTTATAATTAAAAATAATACCATAAGAGTTATCAATTAATTGACTTATTGATAGTAGCTTATGCATTAGACCTTCAACATAGAGTACATTAGAAATAGAGGGAAGAGTTTCATTACCGATAGTTCCATAACCTTTTATTTTTCCTTTCTGATCTCTTCCAAACCCTATGTAACCAACATCTTTAAGTTCCAGCCTTTGAAACATATGATTGCTTCCCGTCATGTGTCACAAGCATCTAGAGTCCAGATACCATGACCGATATCTTTGCTCCGCTATGTAACATATCTGCAACATACACTATTTTATCTATTGGTACCCAGGAACTTTTGGGTCCTATAGAATTAATTTTCCTAGAGTATTTAACAACTATGGGTTTCTGTGCATTTCTAGCTATTTGTGTTTGGGCAGGTGGATATAGATAAGAAAATGGAGAGAAAGGTTTTTCGTGAGGTACAGTTTTATCCTCATAAGGATTGAAATTCTGGTATACAGATAACAAATGTCCTAACACATGCTTAAGACATTGATCTCCATTTAATATCACAAGGACAAGAAAAAGCATATTGATATAAAACTTATCAGTCTAAAGTCATGACAGATGTTCCAACATCTTATATGACATGTCAATCAATCAAGAAACAAAACTG